TAACTCTTAGGCACCGGCCGAGTCGCTGATAACGTATCACCGAATCGCGAGGAATTGCGGCGACACTCGGTCCATCGGAGGATACAGTCGTTGATAGCGTACTGCTACATCCGAGCGATGCGCAGCAGCAGTCAGTCCACCAGACGAGTCGTAACATAGCGTACTGCTACATCACTGCGTAGACTCGTCTTCTCCTCAGCCGCTCGTGCTCCTCAGCAGCCGTCCCGCCCTCGTCTTCCTCGTAAATCGTATCATCCGTTACGCCCTCGCGTCCGCCCGATATCGTCATCCCCGTGCGTCCCCTTTGCACGAACTACGGAGCCTGCCTCCTCGTTTCAAAGCTTTTACGCTTTCTCATTCGCCTCTACACTCATCCCGGACTATCTCTCTTTCTTTCTCTCTGTCTCTCTCATTAATCGCAGCCGCTGGCGGGAAGGTGCATCATCGACTGCGCCAGTGCACGCTCGCTCGAGGAAACGAGTCTCCTACCAGAGATCGACATTACCGATTCCGCTGGTCTCTTTTACTAATTTATCGGGCTCTCCGAGCAAGGGAAAATGGATTTTCTGGCCGATTTCCTGGATACATCGGAGGATTCAGGCTGTAAATTAAAATTGGAGGTTAAAGTCTCTTGGCTGATCATTGGTAGTCCTAAACTACTGACTTCGATAATGGCGTTATTATTTCTTTTTTTTTTTCGGTCATCTGGAAACGTATCTTGACGGGAGAAATAATTCAAAGTTATTTTTCTTATGAGCAAGTATGAGGAGGTGTGGACGTCTTCCTATTTTATTCGTAATTTGTATGTTTTGCGGAATTAATAAGAGCACGTTAACAAGAGTTTATTTTTTCAACGTGGGACGAGAGATTAGATGAAAATTCTATTACCGATGCTTTCTTCGGGTGCAAAGAAGTATCATCTCTGTCAGATCTCAAATCTCGGAGTTCCTGTAAGTTGTTTAACATTTCTTCATTTGTCCTGAATTAAATCATTTCGAAGGAGCCACGTAGCTCTGATAATGCTATCAGAAATTCGCCCGTACATTGAAAGGTGCATTACGAGTGCAATGTTTCCGTCCCACGGTTGTAGTAAGAAAGTGAGACTCTTTTCCTCCCTCTTTCGCGGTTCTTTCCTCGAGCCCGCCAACGCGCAGCCGATCAATCACTCGCGCTCCGCACGTTCAACCCACCTCAACGCCATGCATCTCAAACATGCATCCAAAGCGTGCACCTCATAGGTGCATCATTACCGTGTACCCTACGTTAGAAGCGCATCCGAAACGTGCACCCGTTAGCCGCGCACCCAAATGCGTGGATCCTAAAGGAACGCATCCTGGAAGTGCATCGTGGGCGTGCATCTCGACGCGAGGACGAGATTTAGGTTCTCGTATTGCGCTACGCCCAGCGGTTGCACCGCCGAATAATCCTCGACGAATTAATAATTATCTTCCTTTTTCTGTTTTTCTCAAACTCTAGTTGTTCAGGATTAGGCCTCTGCCAGTGTTAGTAAGTACTACCACTTGATCTGGTGTGATTGGACTGCTGTAGTTAGAGGCTATGCGTTACCTTCCCACATTTTCTACATATATATATATATACGTATATATGCGAGCCCACCTACGTTGAGTACCTACGTACACGTCTCCGCCTACGTAGGCTCTGTAACTCTCTCTCGTATTGGATTTTGTTTGGCTTGCGCCATTGTTTGTTGGGGTTTGCCGATACTCGAGGAAACCCGGCATGCGGCCTAGCAAGAGCGTAGCCCGTTTGTCGTCCGTTTCAAGGTGCGCCAGAACATCACCTTAGTTACCGACTCGCCGGATGCGTCGGATGCACCGGATGCATCGGATGCACCGGATGCTGCGAGGACCGTCAGACCCGCGACGGCGAAGTTAGCCCTAGAGTAGATTCGCCTTCCATCACCCGAGATGCGCACTGTTCATTCCGTCGATTGTTTCGTCGCCGAATGATCGTCCCGTGCAAGTCGAGAGTATCCGTGTCTGAAATGTGGAGCGTTCTGTTGACGAACTTTTTCAGTCTTACCCTGGCTCTCAAATCCGAGGAGGCACTTTTCGCGGATTTCTATTTGCTGTCTCGACCGATGAGAGGTTCATTTCTGCATCTTCCGAAATTAATTTTCAATGGCTGATACCGATGGAGGATGGCAATCACCGTTTAATATCCTCTTTCGGGTCGAATTGTTTTTATGAAAGATGAGATGCATTTATATTTTTTTTTTTATGCCGAAGAGGAATCGCCAGATTTCCGAATGGTCTACCAGAACAATGTAGATAAAGTTATGACGAACTGCAGGCTTCCCTTCATGTGCAATATGTATGTAGAAATGGACGGTGTGGTGCAAGAAGTATGAGATTGTTGCATTGAAATATTTGTAGCCAGGTTTATGTGCATAGCTCTAGAATATAGGCTCGTAATGCCATAAAAGAATTAATCACATCTCTTGGGTATAAGTCCATACTTTTTCCACTGCAAATTGTGCCATGACATGTATATACTGCAAAATATGAAGCTCGAAATGATTAGTAATTTTTTATTCAACGTGAGGATAAAATAATTTGAAAATCTGTTGACTATACATTATTTCAACTATATGGAAACTACTTATATCATTGTTGGGATATCAAGAAGAACCGAAAATATCTCTTAACACGTCTAATGTCACGAGTCAGTAACGTCAAATTTCATGAAATGAAATATTCAAAAACTTAACTATATTATCATGCTTATACAGATCTTAAGGAGCTAATCTCATATTTAAACATTTATTGTCTGGTGTCGTGAATTACGAATATGTGGTGTGGTTTGTTGTGTGCATCCGAATTTGTAATTGACGAACGAAATCGAAAAATTTGTTCACGGAACGTTCCGCCACCTTTCAGCTGCCTGTGAAGAACAATCTGAAATAAGTCCCTGCGTGCTGTAAATCAGCATTATAATGAACAAAAACAGAAAATCTGAACAGGTATAATCCCGTACAAGATATCTCCACTTTTCAATACCTAGGAAATATTCCTTGCATCTTGTGATAACAGATAATCCTCGTTGCAAAGTGGATATAATGATATAATTTCACCACGCATTGTTTCAGGTTGCTCTTCGCTCCAACTTTTGAAATTAAAACACCATCTACTTACCCCATAAATCTGGGGCGCTGTAACAAACGAACAGTTCGTTACCGTAATTAGTAATTGACGTGACGGCCACTGATGACATTTACGTGAAGTAATTGGAACGTCCGGGAATTACTCATTTGAACTGTAATCTGTGACTGAAGCGACGATTAATTACTAATTACAAACGTAACTCGGGTAATGCGTAATTACCGTAGCGTGGAATTAGGAATTGAAGCGTAACCGAACGACGAATGTGCCCATCTCTGCTTCCGAAATTCTATCCAAAGGACCCTCCTGCCATGATGTCCTTCCTCTTCTATCCGAATATATTTCCTAACCGGACAATTCGGAACGTCGTGCCGGCGATCCACATTTTGGGGACATGCATTAGCAAACGCACTGTGTCACGTAGCACGTTAAATTGCTCGTACACCGACAATAGTGCTTAAGCTTTTCTCGGCACATTCGTGAGCTTGCATCGCTAAAAGGGAGCCTGACGATCGGCCTCGCCGAATACGTGCTTTTTCGGCACTTTTTCCTATCTTCTAATTGTTCAAGAGACACGGCAGAGGCTTGCCGCCCTCGCGAGTCGGTTGATTTTGCTTATAAAAAATAAAGAATTAGTGAAAATGGTACTTATAAGAGAGAAGACCGCCTCGTGGATGCTCCTACTTTGCAGTTATTATAATCTGATTAGATATTCCATAGGAAGAAATTCTGTAAAACCATGATTGCCATTTTTCAATATATATATTATTTATACAGGTAATTAACCGTGGTATTCGACGGAACCACATTTACTTATTTAATGTACCGGTTAACTAAACTGTAATTGAAAATTTAAACCCCTCCCTTACGTGCAAGGTAAAAGTGATACGAAAATGGATAAGAGGTATTTTGTTCCGAACAATTGATTTCTTTCTATCCAATTGATGCAGCGATGGCATCGCTGGGAAAGTTACGAAATTTTACAAATTACGACCCTATCGTCCCCTAAATTAATTGTTACGAAATATTTCTTTAACTCTGTAGGATTTTCTCGTTGACTGTAAGATAGGACGGATTTTTGGAGACCTCCCGAGGTTGATTCACTTTTCCTAGAGAATAGATCACTTCGATCACGAGGGATGGTAACCTCGGTGGTGTCTCAACCGCTGAAGAGTTAGCTTTTTTTGCTACCGCTTCCTCATGCTGTTCAACTCGAAGCGAGTATTCATCTTTTAACAACAAGAAATGTCACCAGGCCTGTGTGAACAGCGATCGGACCGAGTCTAGTAAATCACCCGACACGATACTTCCATTCTCGAATGACATGCTTCAATCTCTTTAAAGTACCTCAAATCTACGAATTCACGAGTAAAACATTCCCACGACACTCCTCATTCATACATGCAACTAATCACATGTTCGACATACTCCAAAGAGGAAACATCTCAACATGACGAGGTTGAAAATACGACATCGAGGGGCTGTTCACTTGATAATCAGTGAAAACGATTTCCTTCTTTGAGAATCGATCCCCTTTGATTTCATACGATAAATAACAATGCCATTCAGTAAGAAGTGACATTCGCCCTTAAAATTGACAGTGTTTCGGTGATTTCCAATGATTTCCAATGATTTCCAACATTAAAATCCATGATTTCCTGAGTGAATACCCCCTCGCACGACATAACAACAATATGTTTATCTCCATAAGACAATAATTCCAGCCATAGAAATCGTCCTGTACCACTCGCATTGAACATCGAACATCATCGTTGCTCGCAGAGGCCTAAGTGTCGCACGTAAAGGTGTCGTGATGCGAAAAAGCAATCAGCACTTTGTCGGTAGATCTTGTTTAATCGCTTGTTCGTCATGTCGCAGATCTTCGTTCGGGCCCAGTTCGACTACGATCCTTTGGAGGACGAGTTGATCCCGTGTGCACAGGCGGGCATCGCCTTCAAGACGGGCGACATCTTACAGATCATCAGCAAGGACGATCATCACTGGTGGCAGGCGCGTAAAGACAACGCGGCTGGTTCCGCGGGTCTGATACCGTCGCCGGAGCTCCAGGAATGGCGCATCTCTTGTATGGCCATGGAGAAGAATAAACAGGAACAAGGTGAGCCGGTTATTCCTCATTTCCCACAGGAAACCTCCGGGAAGCAGGACCTCGATGGCCCTTTTATCCTGGGGTCCCAGCAGATCAGGGAAACTCAGGAATCCAGCAGATCGCATGCTGAGGACACAATCTGCAGATTCATGCAAATGTACCGTCGTCAATTTATTTCAACGTTGTTACGATTTGTTGTCAATGTATTCGAAGAAACTCAACTGAGATGCTGAGAATAATGGAATTAAATGCCATAAATGACACTTACGAAAAAGTCTGCAGTTAGAAGGCGTTCGCAACATTGAATTTTTATTTATTAACTGGAAATTATAGGATGTCGAGGTTTAAAACTGCAGATTTGTTTACATATTGTGAGAGAATTCCAACTCCATCGATTTGCTGTGTTAATAAAAATTGTTAAGGTACAGATATTCTCCGGTAATAAACGTTTCCTAGGAATTTCGGGGATAAGTCTCAGGATGTTTATTGGTGAGATCCTGAAAATTCTGAAATTAACATTACGCGTATAATTGCATCAAACGTATTGTTGTTGACGCAGTTGTTTGTGGCGGGCATTTTCTCGAGATATATGAGATCGATGGAGTGGATTAATTATGGATGGCACAGGGGACGAATCGAACGGCATGACTTTGAAATGCGATAATGGTACATTTCATTGAATCTGGCATGTTTCCTCGGTGTACCTCATTTAATTCCTAACTCACAAGAGCTCGGCTCGCTCCCAATCGATACCATAACATTTGACCGGTTATCGTTTCCGCTCATTTTCGCTCAACGGGAATGGTTATCGAAATCGTGGGAGACCTCGATTCGACCGCAGAATTCATCGGTTTTTTTTTTTATCCGGACAACCAATGCGCCTCATTAGTGCAATTGCACGTTAATATATAACCTCTTTCGCGCGGTGGCACGTCGTTATTGTTCGAGGGTTCCGCAACGCGGGAAAGCCGATGCATCGTCAAGCCCGAAACTTTTTAATCAAACGCCCACCGGCTTGCCGCTGCGAGTTCCCCCCAATGAAATTGCAATTAAAACATTTTCTGCTCGCCGTCGTTTCTACTTTCCACTCTCTCGGCATTCTAAAAATCCCTCTCGATCGGTCGCACTCGATTTTCCCAGGAATTCCCGACATATCTCCGGATATAACATATCCGTCGGAATTTTCGGCACTACTCTCGGAAGTACCAGTCAATTGCACTAGTCGTGTACTTCGATACGTCCATTTTCTCATGTTTTTAAAAAATTCGAGCTATGACAAAATGAAGATGTCCGTGTTGGACTCAGGACCACGTGGACCTCCTGCGCTTACGTTCAATTCTTACAATTATCCCAGTTTGCTTGACTTTATGCACCTCAGAACTTGCTCAGCTGCCTTGTTAAAAATTGAAGTAACAGGAAGTATTCACCCTCTGCTCGTTTTTCCTGTACGAAATTAATTAGAGATATCTTTTATAAATATGGATGTAACTTTTATGAGAGGATCCATCATTATTTCTCCGTTCGCTTTGTCCTGAATTCAACGGAGGTCCATTTGTTATTTCATAGATTTTTGTTAGCAGTATTTCATCGAGGGAATTATTTTGCCTCCGTTTATGGAAGGGGTCAGGAATATGTATGCTGACCCGATGCCTCGATAATGGGAGAATTCCATATCCCTATCGACTCTAAGGCAGACACGATCGAAGGGAATACCGATTCGAATGGCAATAGCCAAAGTCTGCTGATTTACATTACACACGGCTATGCAATCCGGCGAGCTTACGTGCCCCGCGATCTCATTGCGATATGCCGTTGTAATAATTCACGAGACACGTCGATCGGCAATCAGAGTTGTACCTAGAGCACACGCACGAAGTATTGCTCTCGCCCATTGCCAACAATGAATGCGAACATGCGTGTACGTACGTGTGTCACCGAGCGTATTACCGTGGCCTCGTTACCTCGCACAATTGCGTACGTATGTACACGCGGTGCTCGTTGCACAAGTTCAATGCACGCAGATGCGCACAATTCCCTGTGATACATCTAGTGGAGAAAAGCTTTCGTCGCAAATACGCTGAAGGGGGTCTGCGAAACAAAGGCTTAAGAATTCTAATTAGTATGAATTGTAATTAAATGCCCTGATCGAAATTCTAATAGGCACCATTGCAACTAGTCAGTACTTTTCGTTAAATCGAAAAGTATTCGCTATTTTAAAAATAGGATACTGCATATGGAGGACATAGCGCAACGTGTTGTGATATGTACATTTCATTGAAAATGTTGCAAAATGTTTTTGGTACTTCGATATTCATAACAGTTTAGGGTATAAATACAGGATATATTCCCTGGTGAGCAGAGATTATGGTAACGAATCGACACAGGCAGCGATAAAGACGTGCTTACGAGGTTTATAGCTTGCAATTTAAGCATTCATACAGTGATAAATTTTGCTATTAAAAGTTTGTCGTGCCGACAGGACGGGCTTGAAAATTTCTATTACGCTTCAGGGTATTCCAAAAGTTCTGCGGAAATCCATTAGGGCAGCCTGGGGGATTTAGTTAACAACGGCCCAAATAACATCCGACAACTTTTGAGCACGAATATGATCGGATACTGCTCGGTAATCTCTAAAGTACCCAGTAGCCGATAACATGCCGTTATGAACATTTGTTATTTATCCAGACGAGGTAAAGCTTCATGAATTCCCAAAGTGTCAAGAGTTTTGCGAAATTCTTGAAAGGCCCTAGGGTATTTTCCGATCGACGAGGGGATTAATAATTAATACCGTAATTCCCAGGCCAGAAATGTAGCGAAATTCCCCTGAATTATCAATCACGTAACCCAACGCCAAACAGTTTTAGTGAGCTTTAATCACCGAAAATTGTTAATTTTCCGTACCGTACTTTAAACCGAATTAACAGGTGTCGAGCGGGAAATTTATGCAGTGCAATGTTCAGGCTGCACCGGGCATTTCATGCGGATCTAATTTTGACATACCCGGATTGAAAATAAGGCGTGATAGCGTTATCATAATTTAACTTCCGTGAGATATTAAAAGTACAGAACACAAAGTCGCCGATAAGCCACCCTATCGAGAGTCACCGCCGTGTAGAGATCTCGGCCGACTCGTAGATTCCCAATGCGCTTGAAGAGATCTGCAGAGGTCCAGCAAGGAGGCACCCTGGGGCATTTTCTAGTTAACGGTGGGCTTCTTCCGGTGATTCTTAAACGCGGAATAACTCCCCCGCATCGGGCCATTGTTAAATCCCGCGAAGAGCCGAAGTAAAATATTCAGCAAAGGGTATCCCTACTAGGTCAAGAGCGCCTCGAATTTCGAGGAGAGCTCTCCCTCTCTCCTCCCTCTATCTCCATATTTCTCGCACTATTTCTTTATCTCTTCCGCTCTCTTAAAGACCCGTCTTCAGGAATTCCCTCTGGTCCCTGTTTTTCCAAACTCTCTGCGGGACACCGGCGCCTCCACCCTGAGGACCTTGTCGCGGCGGGAAATCCTTGAATGGTCCCTCTTAGGAGAGCTCCGAGGCGTTCCGAAAACGTTCCGTGAAACTCTAGTGAACGTTCCGAGAACGTCCCGTAAACACCCTGTAAACGTCCATTAAACGTTCCGCAAACGTCCCTTGAACATCCCGTGGACGTCCCGAAACGAGACGGGCCGAAGAATGGGCCAAGCGATGAGAGTCGACGCACGATTCCCTATTAGCTACAGTGACGTTATTGTTGTATGTTGTGCGGGCTAGATGCTGAAGGGGAAGGAGGATGTTCTTCTCACGCCGAAGGCTGCGACGGCTCGACAGGTACGACTCTGCCTGCAGCTAGACACGTAGAGTCACAGTAGGACCGTTTAGCAGCATGTTGTACAGAGTATACGTCGAAGAAGCAACGCTTGCACTCTCGCATCCTTTCTTCAGGGGGACATGTGCCTTGATCATCCCTACGGACGAGTCAGACCTTTTTTATTCCGCTGGAAGTTGCATCGTCCATGACGTTGTCCCCCCCTATCAATCGTGGTTGATCGAAATAGCAGCACACACCCATAAAAAAAAAATCTACGCAAAGTAAAGCAATTCCAGCCGTGCCCTCCGTGACATCAAATTCGGTCACTTTTGTTCACAACGTATTAATTCATACGAATATAGTTTTTAGACATTCAGTGAGAAGGGAGAAGAGCATCGAGTTCAAAAGAGCGGTTCTTATTCCATAAAGATGCAGGAAGGATGTTCCGATTTTTTTTTTTCTTTTATTGATTTTTATACGAAGATATTAATATTGTATCGCGAAGTTGTGTCTCGGAAGGTTCCAAAATCGCGATAATCCGAGTCCGGAGGAATGATCAAAGCAAACAGTGTAAAGCGAGAAACAGCCTTTTTTTGAGCCGGCGGACCTGCGCAGCAATGACAAGAGGAGCGCCATCTTCTTCCCGTTGACGCGCGTCTAAAGTGCATAAGAAGGATAGGAAATCACCTGCAAGTTCGGCCATTGGCTCTCAGAAGCCACGTCTTCGGGTGCACTCCACTCGGGGCACATTCCGCATTGCGGGCTCGCATCCGGATAGCGTATTCCGCCGTCGAATCCCTAAAATGATAAATTTGGTCCCTCCTCAAGGTTCCCTCCCGGCGTCTTAGCGTTCATTTTGCCGGTCATCTCTGGAGCTGAATAATGGACGCTAGGAAAGGCCAAATGATCCGAGATGAGGACTCGATTTAAACCCGCTGCCGATTATACGTATAAATTAGGAGGGAATTATGCGAGCCGATGCGATTCCAGGCCGAGGACGGAAATGCATGGTTCTGTTGAGTCCCTAATTTATGCTTGCTTGGCACGATCACTCTTGACCCCTTCACGAGGTGCATAATTATCACACCCCTACAGCGTTACACGTCGTCACGCATTAATGTCCTCTGCTCCGTTCACGATCCTGTGACCTGCTGGAACATCTCTCGACGAAAGTCCCGATCCTCTTGAATGGCTTTTTCAAATCTTAGCTGACGGAATTGCGGTTTGTTATCACCTAGCAGTGACACGCTTTCTGACTCTGGTTATCCCGACAAAGTAGATCACTCCCCCGATTTCTGGGCCGCCGATCGTTGTCGGCCTTCTCGGTACTGCAGCTTTGCCCTGTACTAAATAACTATTAAATGACACGACTAACGTGCTACCTGCGAGGGGTATTCAGGATTAAACGACCGTTTAATACCACACCTGTGGAGGCGAAATTTACGACATCCACACAAAAAATAATGGGCACTTTAAATCAGAGATTTAACGTCACACATTGTTGCGCTCCAGATTGCGAGATACTCTGATCGGTATTGGGGGTTTAGATTTTAGACTTGGTTTTCCTTCCCAAGATTTAGGAGGCATCTTTTTACCGATCCATATTTTTACTTCTTAAATTGTTCATGAATTACGCCGGTACACGGTTTTCAGTCATAATCATCAATGAGATGTTAAAAGGCACCAAATATAGGGAAGGATAATGAAAAACTTTTCAACACTAAATATAGTAATTTGGTCTCTTAGGTATTCGTCACTTAGGCATATTAAAATCGAAATACCAGTTTTTCATCCCTATGCCTTTAAAAGTTATACATTAAAAAAAAAAAGGGAATAATACTAGTTTGTTCCATAAGAAGTAAGTACACTAATTGATGAAGCTTATTTATTGCTCCTTGAATTACACATTCGAAAAACTGGGAAACAAGCCCTTAGAACACGCTTGACGCTAACCTTCTGCTTTTAGCTTTGTTCTGTCTCAATAAAAAACATCCAGAATATCCAATCGGAATACTTGTACTTCAAATTTAACAATGGCTCATGCTCCGATAAACGATCTCAATTTTTGCGTCCTGTGAAGCACACGCCATGTACGAAACATGTTACAACGTATACAAATACTTATGCTTGTTCTATAATACACGATCAGTTACGTCCTAATTATGTACTTCCTTTTCACCTAAATATCTCGTCTACTTTGATTTTAATTACAGTTTACGATAAAAGTTATTATTTAACTAAAGTAGAGCCGAATGTTACGCTGCGGAAAGCGTGCATGAAAGCCGAATATATAAATATAANATAAATATTTCTAAAGGGCCTGTGCTTTTCGCTTAACGCTCTAGCTCTTGGACTTCGCAGTAAATTTGATTTTTCTCCGTGGACTGCAATCGAATCAAAAATTCAATGCATACGACACGTCGTTCTATTTTGCCCACTATTTCTTGTGTAATCTTGAGCACTTGTTCCCTGTGTAGCGCAAATGTTGCGGCGACATTTGCAGATCTTTGCGGCGCGAAATATGGACGGGATCGATTTAGCGCGTCTCGATTATCATCGAATTCCTATTGAAATCGCGAACACGTGGTGCCCGGTATTGCGGGGAAAGAATCGATATAGGCAAATGCTGTTTCTGTCGCCTGAGCTTAATTTCCGGTAGAGACGATAAAAACTCCGCGCTCGATTATTGCGAGAGATTGCGATTCACTGGCTCGATCAAATCCCTCGCTAATGGGTCCCTTTTGATTCCAGTAAATTGCTCAATATTCGGCCGGAAGAAGAAGCAGTACAAGGATAAGTATCTCGCGAAGCATAATGCAGTCTTCGACCAGCTGGATCTGGTCACCTACGAGGAAGTCGTGAAGCTCCCATGTGAGTATGACTCGAAGAGCTGCGATGCATCAATGTCGGCCCACGTAAACTCCCCATCTCACATCGCGCATTCGAGCCGAAGATTTTTCTGGGATTGAATTCTCATCCCTTGCTACGAAATCCCACGTTTATTCCCCTCGAAAACTGTTTTCGAAAACTCCTCTCGCCGCATGGGTCATAATTTACTTGGAGACCGCTTTCCAAAAGTAATTGGATCAACCGTTGTTGACTTAAAGTGGGATTAAATACCGCCGTGATTAATTGAAACGTGATATTTCGACCTAGACTCTGTAAATAACATTAAAATATACTGCTGTGAACAGATTTTATAATGGGTTTCCACTGCTGAAAGTGTCTGCCCATTTTTAGACTCCTACTCCTGCCAGCCATTATCGGCTTTTCATTAATAAACGCAACACGGGGTCATTATCAGTATTTTCGTCCGAATGTTTGCATTCGATTCAAGTGATCCGCGCAGAAATTCACGATTATAACACGGACACCTCGTGCCGATTGCAAAACCTTTGTCTGGTACAAGCAAATCGATGTTCGCCGGGCTGTTGAGTGAGCCAATCATTTTCTTTTTTTTTTTCTTTTTTTTTTCCCCCACGTTTGGAAATAATTTATTCAATCTTCTTCTTGCGCGTTACGAGCGTGGGATTAAAGGGAGGGAATATTTTCACAGATCCCGCCTTCCAACGTAAAACTCTGGTGCTGCTGGGAGCTCACGGCGTGGGCCGGCGCCATATTAAGAATACGATTATCGCCAAGCACCCCGACAAGTACGCCTACCCCATTCCACGTGAGTACCGTCAAGTGGACGTTCTTTAAAACGCCCCATGTTCGCTCGCCACTTACTTCCGACTCGTTACGGATCAACTTATCCTCGTAACGATCGATAACCTCTCCTTAGATACAACGAGGCCTTCGCGAAACGACGAAGAAAACGGGCGCAATTATTACTTCGTATCGCACGACGAGATGATGGCAGACATCGCTGCTAACGAGTACTTGGAATACGGTAAGCAGGGATTTTATTCCCGAACTTTCAGGATAAATCTCCCCCTGCAAACATAAGACAAAATTCAATAAAATTTCAATGGCTAAATCGAAGTGAATTCATTACCCTTCATTTTGATAAGCTTAAATCTCTCCGTGGTGCAGGAACCCACGAGGATGCCATGTACGGTACGAAGCTGGAGACAATTCGGAAGATCCACGAAGAGGGTAGGATGGCCATCCTGGACGTGGAGCCTCAGGCCCTGAAGGTCCTGCGCACTGCGGAATTTGCGCCTTACGTCGTCTTCATCGCGGCGCCTGTACTTCAAAATTTCGCCGACGTAAGTACAACACCGGTTTAAACACTTCGTCAGCCTCTACATCGGCTTCCAACCCCTTGGATGAATTTTTAAACGGCGATGAAATCATACCTGTCGAGACGTATCATATTAAAATCGACGTTAGACTTTGTTTCCCAGAGACCCAACTCGGTATTCCGAAAGCCAACGTAATTCAAGCCGACAAAAATCAATGTCATGAGAAAAAAAAAAGTACAAGACTTTTCGACCTCATTGTCATTATTTGCAAACGATGCGAACGAATTCAGTCCCGCCCTGTGCAAGGAACTCGTTCCCCGATATACCGATCCGCCTCATGGCGGGCTTCCTCGCCTTGTAATCGAGACTGAAAGAGATGCACAATTCCTCATTCCAGTACGACGGGAGCCTGGAGCGGCTGGCGAAGGAATCGGACATGCTGAAGCAGGCCTACGGGCACTTCTTCGACCTGACGATCGTGAACAACGAGATCGAGGAGACGATCGCGCAGCTGGAGGCGGCGATCGAGCGAGTGCACACAACACCGCAGTGGGTCCCCGTGTCCTGGGTCTACTGACAGCGGACCTCGCCAAGCCACATCGTGACTTCGGAGTGCAACGGCTCGTCCCGAGGTAGGCCGTGATCCCTAGGGACCCACCTGGCAGCGATCGATCGGGATCGCCGATCATCGGTCGGCGAGGCCGAGCCGGTCACCGGAGGATGTCAAGCCAGTCGAGCGGACCCACCAGCAAGAGGACTCGAGTGATAACACCGTGGCCGCGTGTTCATCGTACCGTTAACTACCACCGATATATGCCGACATATATCAGGATCGGACCAAGCGTGGTGCAGTCGATCTGCCGGCGCTTCGAGGGATCGAAGACCAAACTCGGGGACGCCGAAGCGCCGGTGATCGACCGGGGAGTACCTCTTGTAAGATGCTCGGCGTGCCTCTTTCCGGGTACTTACCCCGGTGCGTGTCCAGCTCGTGTTCCTGCGTGCCTTGCGTACCCCGGGGCACGCTCCAGGAAGCGTCTCGACGCATGCCCCGGCAAGCACGATCGGGGACGATCAGGGATCCGGGGGAGCGGGAACGGCACCTCGTTGCCGGGGACCGTTCCGTCGAGTTGCTTAACGTTACCTAGGAACCGTACACCGGGTCTCGAGACGTCTGTCGAAGAGAGCTCGATTCCGGGTCGGCTGCCTCGGCTGTGTCGAGGACACGCTCGGGATCTTCAGACATGGTCACGTATTCGCGAGAGTGCTCGATCGGATTGGGCGTGCTCCTGTCGGGTACACGAGGTACATCGGGTAGCGTGCCGAGTTTTGTAAAAGGATGGACCTGTAGGAGATTATTTATGGATATGTACATGTGGTTGTTATGTATGACTGACGTACCTCTTCTGGCATTTATTTCTAACGCCGCAAGATGGGCCTGGACGGACTTCTTGAAGATCCATGCGATTAATATCCAGGGGGTTCGGGTCGACTCGTCGGATTCGATGCTCGAGGTTGGAACGATCGGAGTCTCGACTTCGACTCGACCTCGATCGAGATCTCCCGCATCCCTGCATCGGTCGGTCCGTGGGACAGAAACGGAAGGGGATGGAACTCCTATATCCATCGGCGATGCGGCGACCGATCGAAGCTGCAATCGAGCGAGTCGTTTCGTTTTAGCGAAGAACGAAGCACGGTCAAACGGAATTGCGTCGAGTGTCCTCGGGTGGAACTAGGAACTGGCAGGCCGGATGCGCACTCCTTCTCGCACTAACGAGCATAGCCGTATCGCTGTCTCTCTCCTCATGTAGTGGAGTGCGCTCCGGATGGTCTGACGCCAGTTTTTCATATGTACTCATAGGTCGAAGTCGGGTGTTTTGAGATTACCTATTTTGAGCGCTACGGGCTTACTCTTGCAGGAGGTACTCCGATCCGCTACGGGGATAACCCTGGCGTTATCGTCGCGACTCTCGACGACCGATTCGCGATTTTCGCTTTACGTCCCGTCGATCGTCCTTGCGAGCTCCTAGAGAATTCCGGAGCGATCGCTCGGTTACTCGACCCTCGCTTCCGCGCCTCGTTTACATCCGAACGAGCTGTAAACTTTTTAAATTGCGCTCGAAATTAACACGAACCGCCTCGGCGTGTGCGGCCGCGGGCTCATGCTACACTGTCAAAAATGCAGGCAAAATTACACAACGAATGACCCCTTAATTGCACGAGGAGTAATGGACCCCCTCGTCGAGTGTCATTTATTTCAGAGCTCTTAAATTACGCGAACGGGAAACAATTATGCTGCGAATTACATTCACGAGTAGCGATGCTTTACTTAAAATTTTGGGAAAAAAAAAGATATTGTATTAAAACCTGTCGCAACTTCTTCATCCATTCTTACAAGACTTTCCGCGAGTATTGGAGGATTTCATTCCTAACTTTTTTAATGGAATGGTCATTTTTAATATGTTATCTTACTATGCCACTTTTCAATAGCGCTTGGCGTTCCTTGTGTAATTTTATGTATACTTTAACAGTGTAAGAACGACACGTTGTCGGGAAGCGCAAGCGACTACCGAGGATTTGCGCGAGTATGGCGTGGAAAAAAGGAATCTCTTAATTGACTATCTGTAACCTCTAGTTGCCTCTATTGTACTTATGCTATTAAGGAGATTAGGAAATTCGTCCGATAGCCAAGGAATCCACCGCAATAATTATACGCCGGTAGAGCTGAAATCGGCAATGTCTTTGAGACCAAGTCTTTCGTTTCGACTTGGTACCAATTTCTCGGCACAGCTGTTATACCGATCTTAGTACCTTCGTCGCGCGCCTATCAGCTAGAAATCGTTATCTCGCGATTTAAGCGATCGGGTACATGCCTCCCTATTGAAACGTGCAAACCTCTTTCGGTTTTTAGGGGTGCAAATGAAATTATTAACGCTTCGATCAATTTGTATCCCACTTTCTGTTATTACGTATCACAAAATGCTAGTCTTAACAATTCTGCATAAAGTGACCTTGTTAAATCCTCCTAAACTCTAAGGGAGATTTTTAAACAAATTAAGGCCAAACATCATTACTTGTATACTTTTTCATGTTAACCTTTATTACTCGAAATCTAATCGTTGGTTTCTTTGTGAGTCTCTTGTAATGACGATTTTCTACGAGGGTGCTCCATTCGCGATATAACCAAGTACACCGAATATAAGATGCTGCCTGCTAGGATATGAGTTCATCTGCACAAAATACAGAAAAATGGCGATATCTTTCTTCTTATCGTAATACGTGTTTGATCTTATTGTCAGATTATTGCTCTTCATATGTTTAATATATTTATTGAATAAACCGATCTAGTATACCCGGCTCTAGTACACCAAGTGCAAAGCGATATATTCTTCCGCTACCGAATTGTTATTGAAAATCTGTATTAATGGCTAAGGTGGTAACGATAATGCGCGAGACATGATTTTCAGAGGGGCGAAACGAGGAAATTAGATGTGTTCGAGATTTACATCTCGGATTGACGTTAATGAAAAGAAAGATAAATATTGAGATTTCTAAATGGCCATTGAATTGAATTTAGGATCGAAACCGAATGTCTTTGCCAAGCCACTTGAGGAAAAACATTTGTCTTAAAATGATTCCAGGTCATGTCTCTCTAGAATACTTATCTAGAAAGAGTCACTTGAACATTATCAGTTTATTCCTCCCGTTACAATGTCTTGCTAACCTGGATTTCAATAGGGAGATGTATACCTCTTGTACCTACCCTTAACTCTTTAATTGACAGACGTTTCCATTTCTTCAAAAGGCGTGATCAGTTTACCTACATTTTTTTATCATTCAAATAATGCAAACCCTCAATGCACTTAATTAAAATAAAAATATATATATCTTCACGGCCGAGCACTGAACTCGCGCTACAATTTCTTTAGAAGTACCTTAACATAATTTAACAAACTGCATTGATAATTCGATATTAACATTTTGCCCCGATATTGTGTGGCTCATAGAAAAACCTGCCAAGTGGTCATCTCGATAAAAAAGTTCGAAGCAATCCTTTTCCAGCAAGATCGCGGCACTGCTGATCTAACATCATGAATTGTAACCGAAATGCGCTTACATAATGACATGCTTCTAGGATGGTCTGTCAATTAAAGGGTGCGTCGTAAGATCCGTAGGCGTAATTCCGCGTTTTCGGCCAACTACCGCACGGTCGTTCCGTCTCGTCGTATCGTTCAGCTCCTCGAAGTACCGAGCCGAGTTGGATATATGAAATCGTCGCGCGTGTCGGCATTGCCCGAGGAAACGGGGAAACATTCCTGGGCTGCATTTTGCAATCGTTCAGGCCGCTTCGAGTCGCGACCTCTTCCTTTGCCGGGTCTCGATCCCCGAGATCCCCACTTCCGCTTCCCTTGAGCATGTATCGTTAATTTCTCTTCTAGTCGAGCATAAGCCCGATCACTGGCGCGGTCCGACAGTTCGGTCAATTTTACACGCTTCGATACATCCACACGTAGGCTCGCACGCGCAAATTACAAGACCCAAGAGAGAGGGGAGATACATACCACGGATACACCCCTAGATTAATCCGTTTCGCGTACCTTCGTACAAACGCATAATCGAACGACGAAGAGGAAGCGCGCGAGCGGTTATCTAGTTATTTATAACGTAACTCGAGTGAATAGATAGTCTATCAGCTATATTAAAATTACCATTAACGCAGATTTAACGAGTAGGTAATTAATTAATTGTGTAACTAATTAATACCGAATCACTAGAAAGACTAATAGACATTTAAAGTGCGCATGACCCGGAGGGATGACGGGGGGGTGAGTGCGTGCACGTGAGGAACCGCCTCTTACGTTACGCACCAGTCATTCGTTTCGCGACCCGCAATTGCGATTTTTGCTCGGAATTTATTTTCACCTGGGAAAGGGAAGGGGAGAGACTTTGCCTGAATCTTTCGTCAGATTTTCAAAATTCATGGAGAAGTGATACCGATTAGCTTCCCACGCGCGGAAGGCTTTCCCATCGAAGAGCGTTATCAGTCTGCAAGACTGTGTAGTACTCGTAATGACTTGAAAAATATAAACAGCGAAGCCATTTCACGGTTAAATAGTACATTAACCTTTTTTACTCTGAGATGTACGGTAAACCAGAGAAAAAATACTCTTATTCATACTATTAACCGTACCGAGTTTCTTTCTCATTTAATAATAATCTGCATTAAATCGATTATTTTTGTAGTGCAAAGTGTTGTCTCCTTCTCTTGCTTTCTGTTTCGGCTTATTTTTGACGTTTCATTGAATGCATTTCGGTCTAGCAATAAATACAGCACTCGGCAGTTGCATTTGTGGTATAAAGTCGAGTATTTCATGTGAGATATGTTGTACATTTTTCAAAACGATATATGTAATTTTAGTATTGACCGTCATGTAGGAACGTGTGTCTCTTTTCAGTACAAATTCTCCATTTCGGTTTAAAAATTCAGGAATAATTAATTCACCGAAGCATTCGACCATTATCGTTAACATTTACGTAGTTGCACTCACAGCTGTGATAATGATTTCAAGATATCGTACGAGCAGTGTGCCACATTTCCGGGATTTCAAAACATCCGACTAGAAGTATCATTGAATCTCGATCAATGTGGAATGATCTCAATAATTTAGTATGAAAAGGCGCCTGTTTCTTCCTTGATAACAAACGTCATTAATGACATAAGTTAAACCTAATAGAATACGCTTCCGATCTCTTCCCTCTTGATATTTAAGTGCACAAGTCATGCATTTATTTCCGGACCACTTGTGCACCACAATGGACATTAACCAATCACCCTGCACTTGCCTTACATTCCACGATGCTCTTAGTGTAACGTTATCGTTATAGAGCTAGATCCTAGTCATTGAAATTAAATTAATTTGCATTTTACTGGCTATGTATCACTCGAAGTTATCAGTTTCTCTTTCTTTTTAAATACGTACGCACTCGTATTTCTTCAATTCCTCGTGGAATTAATGAAATAGCGTACTTACGAAATGCATACATCATTCCGAGCGAAAACCGCAAGGCGTAGAGGCGTTGAGACATAAATCATTGAGAAAGAATGAATGAACGATCGCTAGTTTAATTCTAGAAGTGTGAGCCCGCCGGTGTAATTAACAGGTGCGTACGGGTGCGTGTGCAGTGTGTCTGAGTGGTAACCATCGCAAGCGCAAAAAAGGGAACCATAAGTGATTTTGTAACGTTTCTTATAAGTTGTAGCTGCCATATCCAGTGACTAAGTAATTCGAATGCGATGTGAGTGATGCATACGTATGATTGCGAAAATGATGCTCGCGACGATGGTAAACGACGATAGTGACGACGATTTAACGATGGACGATGATCAGTAATTAACGACGATCTTTTAGTGCTGTCGAACGCACGCGACTCCAAAATACTGGATGAGTTAAGCTAAGGCTTCGAAAGACGACGGGTCTAAAGGAAACAATAACAGTTCATTATAATTATGTAATTATTAATGAGAGGAATGAAGAGTATTATAACATGTTGTTAATTGAATTAATAAAACTAGCCCAAAGTATCATAGGTTGTATCAATTCGTCGCGCCAGGAGGTTAAAAGCTTTGGTCGTCGCCGTTCATAAAAATGGAAACGTCGCCTATCACAATTTATAAATACTAATATCATAGCTTCTAACAACATCCACTTTATAAGGATCTGCTAATACCTCCATAAAATGCTACTTCTCCATCAAAGTTAATCCTTCCACCCGGTCCACCGCGCTCGTAATCCTCGGACTTAAATATAATCTTTAAAAGGGCACGCAACGGTATTATACAAATGTTGTACAAATATCAATACTACGTCCTCCGATGTTTCCTCTTCAAAGGATGTCTCCTCCCAACCGGTGGTCTCCTGATGGCTACGGAAGGCGGAAGGAGCAGGGCAGCCTCTGGGTCCAGCATGGTGCAGTTCTTCTGCTCCATCGGGAACATGTACTCCAGGTCGATGTCGTACCTGCGGGACATCAAAGGATACGTCTTACGGCTCGCAAACACGCGCAGGAGTAAGGTAAAATAATAGGAGCGATACGCAATCTTCGGCATTGATCGCCGGCCTCACCTCGGGAGCTTTTCTCGGAGGTAGGAGATGACGTTGATGCCGAGGCTGGGCTCTCGGCTCATTATGAAGCTGGACAAGTACCGAGGGCTCTTGCTCTTTTCCGCGCAATGCATCAGCAACGCCCATGATTTATAGTCCGAGTCTAGCACGTACGTGTTGTACACTCCTTCGTCTGCGTTTACGAGAAGAGGAGTCACGTTATGTAGCGGGACTGCGCATCTTGGATGCAAAAAGGCATGCTCTAAAGGCCCTCGTCGCACGATCCACATACTCACAGGGATATTCAGCGTGGATCCAATGGGCAGGGGCCACCGCGGATGGTACTTTCCATGTGATGTTGCCGACCAACTGCTCGTTTATGGGGTCGTCCGTAAAACTGTAGGTGAAGTTCATCGTGACCTCGGCTTTTTCCGACGACACCGAAAGCTCGGCCCTCATACATCTGTAAGCCAGGGCTTCCTCGGACGATGCATAGTACTGCACTATGTACCATGCTCCCAGAAACTGCGAACAAAAAAAACCGGCCAAAATTAACTTTCCCGTACATCTGCGGCCCATCGAGCGCCGATAGAACCAGGGAATCCTTGTCCTGAAAATGAAGTTGATTTAAAAAAAAAAGATATCTGCCATGAATCTCGTGCATCTACGTGCTAGTCTTCTTAGAGGATGCATAGTACCGCACTACGCATCGGACTTCCAGAAACCAAGGACGAGAAACGGCCAAAATTAACTTCCCTGCAAAACCGCGGCCCATTGAGCGCCGATAGAACCAAGGAGTCTTTTTCCTCAAAATAAAATGGCTTTAAAAGAAAAATATCATAAGTGATAACGTGAGAATAGACGTCGGCAATTTGTAGATTTATTTCTTGTTTTAGGAAAGTCTCGACCCATCTTCTTTACCGAAGAAAAATGGTATATATCAATGTCTAGATGGCTTAACAGGAGATGTTAGGTAATATAATATTGCTGTACCGAGGAAAGAAATTGCATCGTATTTCTTTCATCATTTCTGAGTGCGCCTTCGACGTTTGACGACCCTTTGTTGCAGACCTTGAGCCAACTATCCCTACAAAAGGCGAACGACAAGCTCTTCGCGTTCAGTCTGTGATATTTTTAAACGTGGTCCACATCGTTATTCACCCGCAATAGTATCATGGAGACATTGGATAAACTTTGCGCAACATGAGCCTGATTTAAAAACCGATATTGTCCTCGCCTTATATTATACGCGTGTCACATTATATATCGGGACATTCTCTTCGATTTTTAAAATATTGGACAATAATTTATTACAAATCAAGGGCAAAACATTGGCTAGAATAACCGCTCCAAAATAACTGCATCCTTATTTCATGTCAACTTCGTAGAAATTCCAGTGTCTTCCGCTAAATTTTATTTCAAGCGACATGTTTTTGAATAGCGTAAAAACATGTATGCAAATTGACGGGGCATATCCATTTCACGAGACAATGTGTTTTAAAATATGTATTGCGGTGTTTCTTATTTCCATCATCCTGCCAACTGATTATCGGCTATACGCAAGACTGTAATAAATTGTTATAAGCATAGTGTTTCTTCCCGATCAATTACGGTGTGGAATACTTATCGATTGCTCCAGGGTGAACTAATACAAGCGATTTTGAAAGCTTCGAAAGCGGTTCTACCAGATGTAGTTGTTTGGAACAGTCCATAACAACTCTGAGCGATTCAAAGGGTCAGAAGAACGCTCAGAAAAGAACACGGTGAAAACAGGTCCGGTTTTTTTTTAAATAAACTGATTATAAAGAAGGCTTCTGCCTGTCGAATGCCTCCAATTTGCAGTCGGAATTCAGCCTTCACCAAAATCCGTATAATTTCAATCGATCCGAAGGAACATTCAGAACAGAATTTAGAACACTCTGTACAATAAACTCAAGTAAAAAAGCGTTATTAGAAATTCTGCCCCCAATTTAACTTAATCCCATTATGATTAAACATTATCCGAGAATAGTTCACACATTTTGAATATATAATTGCGAGTTTACGTTATCATTCGTATCACTTATATCGTATCCTTTACAACAAATTAACGCCACCGAGTCTTATCCGGTTCCTACATCCGTAGGACACATCGCTATCAATTATGAGTCCGTTCTATCCTCTATACGGCACAAAGAAGGTGCAGGCAGACATTTTCATCGGGTAATACCCGTAATTAAACTCCATTATATGTGCACCAACCACAACGTATAGTTTAAGATCAATTATTTGCTGATTAAACGTTATAAATGGCAACAAATGGTCCCTCGTCCCTACTGATCCCACCATATATACCCCATACGCGCACATAAATAATACACATGAAATATCATAAACACAGAAGCCAAATTCCAAATGAATTTCATCAAAGACCTTCTCAATTTCTTATCTACCCATGACAAGTCACCGAGAACTCCAAACAATATTATCAGCTTTCTCATTTAATCCATAAAATATAACTTCCCCCGCGATATTTAATCTTTTAAGATAGCAAAAGTACTTTAAAATCCTCGGTTGGATCAGGCAAAATTTCCTTTAACGCTTAACTTCAATACGTTCATTGTCAAAGTCGTAACGATATTAGATAGATTTGCAGATAACGTGTGATAATGTGTGTAATTACTTCGGATATGTCGAAGTTCCTTATACCCTTGACTTTGGGACACTTAGTTTTGTCCTCTCGGCGCTTCCATGTGCCACCGGTGTCCGTCAAAAAGGCAACTAAAATGAAGAGGACTAAATATAAACAGCGGGAACACTTGTCAGCGAAGAACATTATGCCGGGAGGCCGAGGAAAAGTGCGTAACTGCACGCACTGGTAGCGACAGCGGTGCTACGAGTTCAGGTTGAAGTTCCAGGCTCGACTACGGAGGAACTCTGGAACAGCGAAGAACGAGCATGCCGTCGACTCTCCGTTTGAGAGGGGGTGGCCTCTATCACGTTCCTTCCTTTGCATTCCTTCCTTCCTTTCCTTTTCAATCGGTAACTTGTTTGTTACCTCGTTCCCTTGTTTCGAGTCAGGCGACAGGTCGCAAAACACGTGGCCCTAGCATGAGATGAATGAACGTACGACAGGTGACATGCGTAACACGGATTGAATGGGAGCGAACACATCTACAGCTGATCGGCATGAATGGACATGATAGTGGATCTATAAAAGAGAAAAAACGAGTTAATAGTGGTTCTTTTAATGGGTATATAAATGGTACTAACAACTGAATAATTAGAAAATTTCTGAAAAATGGTACCAAGTGGTGGATTACAGGATAACTACCTATTCCAAAAGACGCCTTCGTGTTCTGCAGAGGATTCCTTGCCTTTGTATGCCGGTCTCTTAGTGTTTAACATCTCTGATTTCTTACTAATGCGTTAAATGGGAAAGATTGTAAGGTATGAAATTGTAAGGATGAGAATACTTGCAATGTACGAGGGGATCCCGGGGAAAAATTCGGGTTTCGTTCGTTAGTCATTTGTAGGGGAGGTCTGTTGTTATGCGAAAAGTGTAGGCGGCGAAAAGATTCAGGAACAATTCAGTGAATGATCGTAGCATACCATCTCGTACCAGTGAACGTGTCGAACATATTTATGGTCGAAGTCAGACTTCGCTTTAAAGGCCTTTCCACAATGCTTGATTACTCATCATCCCCTGATCTCTAGCTGTCCCTCCTGATAGGCTGCTCTTGTATGTATTTAAGGCTTTCTAGGGACAATGTTTGCCGTAGATTAGAACGAATACGGACACTTAACACTGTGGAGTACTGCAAAGTAAATGCTTCGACTTTTCCCGGGCAAAAAAAAATATTACCTCAGCAGAAAATTATTATAAGAATGAATTATACAGCATACAAAACGTATTTCTATATTGTCTGATATGTGCTCTATAAAAAGGACGCCAAGCTTGTGATGGTAATACTTCGCAAATTATTGTCTATAATTTCGTTCAAGCTTCTTCGCGTTATTACATAAATTATTAGCGGTGTTCAAGTTGACAGATTTAAGGAGAAGGTAATTTAAAATGGGATGAATACAAACGAACAGTGTAACTCTAAAAGTGATAGACGTTCTCGGTATCAGTTTATTAACTTATCTCACATCCTTTTCCTTCACGCACTACCAACATGGAAGTAGTTTGTGCAGATGGATGGTATGTATTCATATCTTCACGCTAGACCGCGAATGAACATGAATTAAAGAATGTAAACTTATTTGTACATGCATGTAAAACCAGTGATCCCAAACATCATTACGACAAACAGTTTTTATGCGTAAGACATTGTATACGTAACAATATAAATTCAGCGTACAGGCATTCATAAGACTGTCACAGATATTATCAGTTGTTAAACAATTAAGGACGGTAACAAGTATTAAGACTTAACTAGGATTATTAATAACGACACTCGAGATTCTTGTAAACACCTAGAGCGACAGATATTTTATTAAAAATTGAGTACTCCTTAGTAAAAAGTGTGAAAAAATATGCGTTGTAAAAAATCACTTAACTGCTAGTTAAATGCACCGTACGACAGTATCAGTTCTAGAATATACTTCACAAGGAAGTATAAAATCAGTCACAAATGTTATTTCCATGGAGGTTTGCTTTTCTGCTGGTCCACCTTAGACGTCAATCTTTGAGGCACGGAGAGCAGTTCATCGGTATTCTTAAGCGAATCCTGTAAAAAGACGTGTAAATAAAATTGATTTAAATACACGTACATATTTCTCATGAAAACGGTAATTCTTCGACATTTACATCAGGTGTAGGCTGCCATGTTATGCTATCTTCGCTCATCATGCTCAACTCCTTTTTTATGTAATGCTTTCGTGGCACTTCTCGATAAATCGGAGTCGGACTACAACAGTCTTCCGAGGTTTTCCTTGTCATAAATTCATCTTTAGATTGCTGCATGTCCAAAATCTATAAAAATGTACGAAGTAATAAGTAAACCAGTATTGACCTAAGTAAGGTTACATGCCTACCATTTTAATATATCTCCGAAGATCGTCCTTGGATTCCTTCCTACTGGTTAAAGGAGTGTCATCGGTGCAAGGCATGGATATTAAACCTTCGTCATAACTTTCTCGTGATTGAATTTGTTGGAAATTTCCTACTGACTGCGATTCAAGTCGCATAGGTTCCGGATGGGCTTTACCGCAACATCCGGTAATGCTATCGAATTTTTTAATATCTCTCGATTCTAAGAATTTCTCTGCGTTTAATCGTAGAACTGGACTCAAGTTTTCCACATTGCCACCTGCAAGTTACGTCAAATATGTCAATTGTAAATTTGGAAACAGGCATAAGTATAGAATCATTGAAGCACATTAAACGTACCAGAAATAATCTGTAAAGCTTGTTGCCACTGTTTTTGCATAACCGAATGAAGTTGCTCCACCACTCTACTTTTGGTAGCTTTTTGAGTGTTCAGCTGAGCTTCTAACATGGAAGACTGTTGCATGGACTGAGCCAACTGAATTTCGCATAATCGTTTCTCCTCTTTATGTTTCTCTTCTAATAAATTAATCTCTAAATTATGTCTGCAAGTGAAGATTATTATTTAAAATGTGAATCGTTTGAAAAGCGAGAAAACGACACAAGAAAGATAATTACTTATCGATAACACTTTTTATTTTTCGTGCAGCGCATTCAGCGATTGCCCGCTGCCTGGTTTCTAATTCAACTTGGAAAGCTCCTTCGGCAGCATCTAGCTGCGCCTGAAATTCTTGCAATTTCGCTTTTACAACTTCGTCTACTTGCGTCTGATATACTTCCCGTAATTCCGTTCGAATTTTCTCCTGCTGTTCGAGGAGAGATTTACTTTCCTCCTTTGCCATTCTCTATATAACAATTTCAACAAACAATGAATGATGGAAATATAACAACGTGACATATAGAATGAAACAAAAAGAAAAGAATAATACCTCTGCCTTTCTGGCTTCGTCAACAGCCACTAGAAAGGAAACTTTATTCTGCTCCAAAATATTGTTTCTATTCAATTCCTCTTTCACTTTTAACTGCAAATTTTCTTTTTCTTGGCGCAACACTGTCAATTCCGCTTCGCAAGCATCCAATGCTTTATGTATAACAGCCATTTCACTTCTCACCTCTCCACCCCTCAATCGTTCTCTATGTAATTCCTGTTGAACATTTTTTACCGTTTCGTCCAGTTGCTGATTCTTGTCCAATATTTTCGTATATTCGGTCTTCATTCGCTCGTATCTATTCTCTACTTCCTGAACCATGGATTTGTAATTTTCTAATTCATCGGCATGGCTCTTCAGCAATTCTACCTTTTCTTTAATCATATTATCACTTTTCTCTTTATATCCAGCTGCTAAATCTAATGCTTTCGATAATTCACCTTCGTTGCGTTTAATTTGAGCCTGAAACTCGGAGACTTCGGTTTGATGTTTCTCCGTAATATTCTTCAGTACGTCTTGCAAGCTTTTATGCTCAGTTTCTAATGCTTGCCATCGCAATTTTAACTTCGACCAGGAACTTTGAAACTGACATATTGCAGCATTTTTCTCGTTGTCAACTCTGATGGCAACGGCTACTTTTTCCTGCTGCTCTAATAATCTTTTTTGAAGCTCCTGAATTAAATTCTCGCAATGCTGAAATTATTTTACAGTTGCAGTATATATAAATGAAAATGTTACATGTCGAACATACAACAATAAATTCTGAAATGTAAACAACATACCTCTCTTCGAAATTTCTCTTCCTCCAATTTAATGGACAGCATTTCCTCTTGCGTTTTACTTTCATTATTTTCCCAAAAGTCAGAAAGCGCAAGAAGATGCTGCGATTTTCTAAAAAGTATGTACGTAATTTAGGTAGGTTTTAAATCGACGTTTGGCAGCACTAAATAAAATATAAAATACGATTGTACGGAATAAAGTAAAACATTCAAAATGTATGTACCTTAAGCATGGCTCTGTATTGGTGGCAACGTGACTAGTGTTTCTGAAAGGGTGTATCAGGTGCATCTCATTAAAAGTGCTTTGTACATTACTTGTGCTATCAACATTTCTACATGTTTGTGGAAAATATTCGGTAGCAACGTCTCGATGCTTAGGCTGTGGTGGTACTTGACTTTTACTAAACTCACTATTTGCACTACCAAGCCCTTGCTGTACCTTGGTGTACACATTTCGTGGACAATAAGTTGTCCCCTCCTGATCTCTGAATCCTAGGGCTTCTTTGGCCATAGACTCTTTACAATTGGTTAAAATAGTCTGCATATCCAACTCTTTAGAGATGCTGTCACCATTTTTCTTACCACTAGACTTAGTTTGTGAAAGTTCACCGACGTACTCTTTAGTCTGTGGAAGAACTGAACACGTACTGTTTTGACCGCCATTAAGATCCGATGCAAGTTTGTCCATCTCGTGAAGATTTAATGAATCATGGGCAAAGGATAGATCTGCTAATTTATCTACACTTTGATTTAGATCATTTAATGCTGGTGTACTCTTGTCTGATGATTCCACATTGTAGAATTGTAAATTTAATCGACGTTTTGGAGATCCAACCTTTTGACTGGCTTCTAATTCTTTAAAATGGTGTATGTTACCATTCCGTTCCGACCTATCAGTTCGAGTTTGGCCTTGGCAACATTCATGTAAAACATTGTCAATTCTTTCCGCTAGATCCATCTCCTTGGCTTCCATTTCTTGAAGAAGCTGGTTGACTTCGGAAAGCTCCATTTCACTCACTGGTTTTGCTTCTGAATAGAATTGTCCTACCAATGGGCGAAGTAATTTCGATGTAGACGTCATGTGAGATAACTGTTCACAAGGTTCAATGCACAAGCTAACGGTACTTTCTCCACGATCAGATGCTAACGTCGAACAAGGCTCCCTTTCGGACAAGGTAGTGGCAGCATGCAAGAATCCTAGGTTTCGAGCGGGAGAATGCACGAACGAGGCTTCGGACAATGATGTTAGAACGTTGCCATGCTTGCTCCATGTACGAGGGTTAGTATTGCTTATATTAGTAGAACCGTCTGTGAGTAAATGCCGTGTGAGCTGTCCTTCGTTTTGAATTTGATTAGTACAACTAGATGGTTGATAGCTGCTAGGAGTTGATGGAACCGAAGAGCACAGCCGAGGCTTCAGAGGAGTATTTTGCAAACTGGAGCTTTGACTTACAGAGAATCTGTTTCCAGTTAATGACGATCTGCACTTATGCGGACTGTGATAGGAAAGTCTTGGGTGCAAATCCAATGAATTGCTAACTACGGACAAATCTAAACTGTTGTCCTTAGACTCGATAGCCGTGATCCTGGACTCCAAGGACTGTACATGTTCGATTAGTTCTGAAACGACTCCGGTACTATGAGAACTGTAACCTTCTCTTCCACAAAAATCGGAGTCATCGGACTCGGACGGTACAAAGAAGAAATCTGGTGGAATTGAAATTAGGAGATCCGTGTCACCGGACTCACTCATTATCCACCTGTTTTTTTTCTCACCATTATACGAATCTATGCCAGTACACTGCACAGTTAATTCCGAGTTTGCAAGAATCAGGCGGAATCAGGCACCATGGACAAAACACTGATGACAGCTGTATTTATAACAATCGCCTGCGACGCTATCCCAATTGTCTTATTTAGGGTTAGTTTCTCAGCATCTGCTTATACACCTTTCACCATTGTTTAAAACAAAACAACGATTGTAGAAGACCGACCGCATAGATTGTAAGGTTTAGTTCCCCATTTGTAATTTATTTGAAAATCAACTCGGTATCACTCATCTCTGCTCGGTATCAAGGAACAGGGATGAGTTGGGAGATTGCTCACGAGCAGAGTCGCGCGATCGTGTTCTGTGCTGCCCCCTGGTAAAACAATGGTAATTCACGAAATTTCAATAACATCGATAAACACGTGAGTCGTGAACGTGGATCGCACGAGTCGGCGAAAGATGAAAACAATGAGTTTCAAACTCTGCAACAATTTACTTATTTATTAAATTAAAATTTAGGGGGACGACATTACAATTTAGCGGCTGGGGGAAATTCTGACTATTTCAAACAAATCTAAGCGAAAAACTGACATTTTCCACGCTTGGATTACCGCATTCTAATGCTGACAATGACTACGTCTCCATCGTACTCGAAATCCGGAATTTATCAAGTTCAAGCCCAGCAAATCTAAAATTAAGTGTCAATCGAGACACTCAAGATCGAATCTGTGTAATTATTAATGCGATGAAGACACGCGATTTACTGAATCCAGATCCGATATCTTTGTCTACTTCATGCGTTGGCAACTTTTTATGTAATATCCAACGCGTTCAATAGAACGCTAACTAGATTCCTTTTTTAAAACTGGAAAGTTTAACCTTTTTACTATACTTTCCCAAACTAGTAACCGTATAATTTAATATTTTTTCTAGAACTACTGTCAAATACACTTCTGGACTTATACAATGAAATTTATAAATAGAGTTTATTAAACACTATTTGCAGTTTTACTGTACAGAAATTGAAACATTTAGAAACAAAATCAGATGATTTCAGATTTTAAAATGCATAGATACAATATGAGGTGAATTTGAATGAAAGAAATCTCTTTGAATTTGCCATTTACAGTAAAAGATGAGTAAATGGTAATGTTCAATGTTCAATCCACACCTGAATTACACTAATTTCTTTGCTTCAAAGAAGCTCTTCAGATGCCTCATTTGCCATGCACCCATAACTAGTAGAACGATGGTTTGAGTCAACGACCACCACAGAACTCTTTGATTCGTGCTTTCCGAAGTCTGTCTGAACCGTTCCTCACGATACTGAAATTATAAATAATGCATATTAATGATTGGAACTAGTTGTTAAAATAACGAAAAAAAAAAATATATATTCTAAATTGAAATACCCTTTGATAACTTTGTTCTTTAGTTATTTGCTCCACTTGGTCCAAAAGTTGACGTATTCTTAATTGAAGTTCTGAAAGTTTCTCTTTCTGAGCTACATTAGCATAATCAATCGCCTGTTCTCCGACTTGAATATCAAGATGTACTCTCTAGAAATATTGAAGAATATATTGTTATTGGTAAACTTATTCATCGAACGATATATTTCTTAATAATTATTTATCATAATGACGTACCAGTTGTGTCCCACCAAACCAGGCTGTGCTGTTAGAATATAAACATATAATATGCTCTCCAGGTATATGAGAAGTAAATGAAATTCGTCCTTCAGAACTGTATACCCTGGAGAGGATGGTTTTGTCGTCCGGATCTCGAACTTCTACATGCATTCCGATGCCTGGACTACTTGGCATAAAACCACCACTTCTGGGATCATAAAGTTCCACCTTATAGTTCACTAAAAATATACATATTGATATAGACATTTGTTTTCATTTACTGCTTTAATTGTAATGATGGCTATTCAAACTGCTCCTATATTTTACCTAAAACCGTAGTTTCATCGGGAATTTCCTCGATGAAACATTTTCGTTCCGTCTCACCGATGTGAAAATAAAGCCCTGTGGTAGATTTGAAAAATACATGCAGTACAAACAAGAAAATTGCGTATTTTAACATTGTATATGAACGTGTTTTCTTATACTTTCGACTAGCGTAAAATGGTCACTGAAATTACGAGGCCATCAGCAGAAAGATCTGACAGAGCACACGTCACCTCATGACACCATTGATTCTATATAAACTAGATTAGGAATACTGACGAAATTTCGGAAGATTACACTCTCTCCGTTAAAACGAGATGGGAGTTTACTCACGACTTAGCGCTATTAATCCTGTGCTGCCCCTTGCGGCCAATTGTTGAAACTTATCTACTTCCGCTTCGTCTGGCATTTAAAAATTCCTTAACTCAGATTGGCCTAACTAAATGGTTGTTCTAAATGGTCGACACGTGCAGACCAATCAAGAATGATATAGCACGGCCTAGGAATACAATTGGAATCTCAATATACAACGCTATTCAAGAAAAGCACTTAAAAATGTTAATTATCCACTGATTATCTCTAACTCACCGTATGTACGATATTCAGAAAAATTAAGTAACAATTTTGGAAATTAATAAAGTTCACTCACTGTTGACAACTTAAAGCAGTAAATAGAATTTGACTATGTCGCTGGCGTGTCATTTGCAAGTGGCATGTGCTCATAGGTTAGATTTTTAGAATTGCTCATCGGTTCAATTTATGTAAACTTACATTATGGAGAATGGAGGTTTCGAAGTAAGAGTAATTGACGGAGAAAAGGTAACATTATTTTACTTACGCACTCTAGTGGAACATTTTTATTAAAATCTAATAATGTAATTTACGTATAAGGTAGTTTATTGAGTTGCAACAAGTAGTGTTACAAGGGTAGTCTTGAGATTATTTGATATTAACAAATGTTCTTTAAGATGTAAACATGTAGTAAAAGAAGATTATTGGGCTTTACGTTATATTAGTCACAATTCTCATATCAGCTGATAGATTAACTAATAAATTAAATTATAAATCTGTAATGTGTAATATTGTTTTTGTAATCAATGGATTATTTCAGGGAAAAGGACTTTTTGCTGTTCGTTCATATAAAGAAGGTGATATCATTTTTGAAGAAAAGCCATTTGTGTCGTGTCAGTTTTCATGGAATGCTGATTATGGGTATCTAGCATGCGACAATTGTATGAAACCTCTTGAAAATGCTGAAGAAAATGCTCGACGTCTATGTGGGAAAAAGGATATTATTTTATCCCATATGGAATGTTGCGAAACTAATAAGGAACTAATTACAGAATGTCCATTATGTGGAATACAATACTGTAGCAAAGACTGCCAGAATGAAGCGTTTCAAAGGTAGTAATTATTTCCAGCAATAAGAACCCTTTTATTAGTATTATTTATTAGTGTTTATTTTATTTTATTAGTGTATACTATTTCAAATATAAGTGTGCTTGATATGATTTTAGATACCATAAAATACTTTGTTTACAATCGAGGGATAAAAATGATGCTCATCCTTTAGTACAATTAAATGAGACATGGAAGCAAATGTACTACCCTCCTGAAACAGCTACTGTTATGCTATTGGCAAGAATGGTTGCACTAATAAACCAAGCAACTGATAAGTCAGCAATATTGTCTACGTTTTCTCAATTTTGCCATCGAACTACGAGTGACTCCCAAGAGATTGCACATAATTTACTTAGAGATGAATTTGTTGGACAAATTGACGTACTTAGACAAATGATGCAAAATGCACTAAACACTGAAAATGTGCCAGAGGTATAAATTATAAACCTGTGTGTATCTTGTGCTGTCCAAGAGGATACGTGCTGTTTACACATTTTATTTCAGTGGTTTACACCAGAAGGGTTTAGAAGCTTATTGGCTCTCATAGGCACAAATGGTCAAGGCATTGGTACCAGTGCGTTTGGCTGCTGGGTAAAAAATGTATCTGCTTTAGAAATGCCAAGAGATGAAAGAATTCAAGTTGATAAGTTAATTGACCGAATTTACAATGATATGGAAGAAGGTAATTATTACATATAAATATTTTATCGTGATAACTATATCGTTATAAATTTTAACATTTCTTCACAATTTATTTTCCAAGTGGTTGGATCATTTTTAAACAATGAGGGCTCTGGTCTGTATGTACTGCAGTCAGCAATAAATCACAGTTGTGTACCAAATGCAATCATTGAATTTCCTTATTCTAATAGTACACTTGTACTGAAAGCAATGCGAGATATCCAACCTGATGAAGAAATCTGTATTACTTATTTGCACACTTGTAGTTTGGAAAGAAGCAGGCATTTTCGCCAGAAAGCATTAAGTTCGTACTACTTGTTTGTTTGTCGATGTGACAAGTGTCTAAAACAAGCCGATGATCCAGATGTTACATCGTCCGATGATGACGATGATGACGAAGAATATGATGACATGTCTGACTGAATCTAATATTTGCATGCAGTTCTGACTCCATTGTTTCACAATATTTTATAAGCATTGTTTTTTCAGGCGTTAGCCAATAACGTAAATAAAGAATCATACCTATTATCTTCATGTACATATTTTTATTTATGAGCTAAATGTTTAATACCTACATCCGATTTTCGTGGGACCAAATATAATCGATTTCTAACAAATATGTTAACAAATTTTCTCAATTTCACGTATTTTCTATCATAAAATACAAGTCTTGTATTAAACATGTAGTTCAAACTTAAATATATTTGCTTCGCACGCATTGTCAAGATCATTTTAAAATATTAGTAAAGTACGATCCATAGTCATAAACTTATAGAATTTAAACAACATTACGGCCAGGAAATTCAAAAGTTCAATACAAACACTTCTACCAATCTCTATAATGATAACAACAGTTAAAACCCGTAATGATCTGAGTATTCCAGTTTGTGTTTAAAACTTAATATATGAACTATATTCGTAGCATAGATAAAAAATTTGATTTCTACGTACATACGAATTCGGACAAAAAATACTATTTGAATATTATGAATCTCGCAGTGTTAATTCATTTTTTCCAGCAGACATTAAACTAGAAACATAGTAAGGTAGTGGAGTCTGAAGAACTTTATCCTGTGCTAATTTCTTTATTTGTGCAATGATGTCGCGGCTGCGAAATTCCCACCTAGAATTAAATTATGAATTACAAAATCAATTAAATAACAAAGTATACATATAATTAATATAACTAAATATATCAGTCACCAAGAATTAATAAGCTTTTACATATTTGTACACGGTGATTAATCTTCAATTCGTTAAGAAGTAGTGTGATATGTCTGGATTTACTTAATCAGATACTGTTGATTCAGTTTTACGCTTCTGTATTTATCAAAAATTATTCTATTCAGTTTGTCTTTATTTACCTGGTATGTACTTTCTCATTTTCCATATTATTTGGTACTTTGTTATGCAGAATATGCTGATCTGGAGCATTCATAACAAGCAGTTCAATTGTTGGTGCATCCTTACCAAAACATTTTTCTATGTATTCTTTCCTTTGTTTATGTTGGGTGAAATCTATACCAGTATGCCTGCAATGTAATTTGTAAGAAGAAAAAAATTTAACATGCTAAAACAACATAATGAGAGAAATATTACTTCGATATTGGTCCAGTTTTTGAGAAAGTCGGTGGCTGAAGTGTGCATTCACCATCCGTGATACCTTGTTTCTTTGCCCTTAATATTTTTATGAGCGATTTAAGGTCCCTTCCCATTAAATTAATTCTTTTGCTACTTTTGTAACCTATACTGTCTGTTAACACCATTACATATGCCTTTGTAATACGTTTTCTTGAACAAAAGAAGTACTGCTGTCCACGAAACAGTGCAAAGAAAGTTGGTAAAATACGTCGAGCTTGTTTGCTCCGTGTCTTCTCCTTTATAGAGATGTATATCACTCCACCATGAGCTACAACTTGGACATCCATATCCATCTGACTAGTATAAAACCGTTGCATAATTGTATCACGAAATTCGCAATTTGTAGGAAAATTCTGTGCATTAACTGGGTCTTTCAATTTGTATGTGTACCATGTCTTTTTTTTATAATGTCGGCTTACGTCTGAAAGTAACTCATTAATATAAATAGGTAATTAAAGAGAATATAATTTTAATAACAGTATTAATATATTTATTATATCTTTGGAAGAAAATGTTGTGAACATTTTCCATCAATTTGCAAGGATTAATTTGCATATCGGAACAATTAAATAAAACTGAATAGCTTTCAAATATTCAAAGGTAATTTTGAAAATTGAGAATGATAGTACTCAGCATCATATAATCAAGTTTTTTCAGATTTATTCAATATTTAAAAAAACCACACTTCAGGCTGAGATCGACATGTGATTATAATGTAACATTAAGCAACTGCGATCATAAATATGTTAATACTGAAATTATTAGTAATAATAAATTTACCAATTACTTCCAACATTGATAACCGATTTTTTAATTCTTGGTTTCCTATTTTTGCTTCCTAGTGTGATAGATGAAAAATTTCATGAATAAGACATTTCTATAAACATATAAACAACATTAAATTAATTACTTACCTCGATTGTCTGCTCAATGACCCGTACAGCATCACTGACTGTGAACTTATCGTGAAGTTTAATTAACTTTGCACGAATCTGATTCCATGATATCTCTGGAAAACTTGGTACTACAGCTGACTCTAATTCTTCAAATTTGAACCTTTTCATAACCAAATTGAGTTGCTGGCGTACGTTAATATTACCTATGTCAAAATCAAAGCACATAATATTCATATAGAAAATTATACAGCATACAATATCAAATATATATTTAAGTCCTTTACATAAATATCGTAATTTCCAGAGTAACAATAGGTCTAAAATTGATTATGGTTTATTGACAAACACTCCAACTTTAATTGGAATTGAATTATAGTTCCAAAGAAACTCTGCTAATGTAAAAATTATCGATTTAATTAATTAATTATTGTTCTAGGTTTGCTATAACAGTTATTCCTAACCTTAAAATCGTGTATCTTTAAGAAGTTATCACAGAAAATTACTGGAATTCATGTTCACTTACTTGCCGGCATTTTCTCTATAATATCCTTTATAATTTCAATCTGAATTTAGTTGGAATCTACTAAAAGTGTCGAGTTAAATATAAATTTCTATTGTAGTCACAAATAAAAGTTCAAAATTTTAAATCTATGATCACCTGATCTGACAATTGATGTCAACAGACTGACTACATCTGCATCGTACTTTAAATCAGAGATTTATTGACTACGTCTACTACGAGTTAATCGCAGCTAATCAGGAAGCTAAAAGTTTGGCTTACCAATATGGCTACCTTTCCATTGTTCCTAGTACGCCGGGCGGCCGGAGAGGACAGTAGGTCAGCGAAGTAAGCATCGATGAATGCCAGTCTGTACTTACGTATAATCTCTTCCGCTGATGTCATATATTGCATATGTTGCAGTTACAATCAGCTGATCGTTAAATACCCAATAGTAATCGGGGTAATCGAGTGACGCTAATTGTGGAAAGTGACGTGCTTTAAAAAGTCATGGGTGACCATATAATTGAGATAAAAAATGACGAGAAAATTGCTACTTTTACCAATTTAAGAAAGAGCAGCAGTAAGAGTGTCAATTCACAAGGTTAGAGATCCTTTATTATCTGTAGGCGTGTCAATGTAGGTTATCTCAAACAGTTAGGTTTGGTTTACATCATTCCGTACTAATGACTCTTTTTTTTTCCAGACACTCAGGCAATGGTTTGTCCAGGACGTACTCAAGGTGATGGAATGGAGAATGTAACATTGGGTAAAGGCGAGTTGAAGCAGGGGAAATTTAGACTCGGAGATACGCTTATTTATCATCCTACGAATCTCAAACAGTTAAATTCAACTCCTCCTGTGACACCAACAGGCACGATCGTTAATCTTATTCCTAGGAGTATCACTCACACTAAGAGAGAGAACCATGTATTGAGTTCTTTAAAAGTGAAAGAACCTAAATTCGTGCCGTATGAACCTTATAAAGCTGCCGTTAAGCCAATTGTACCGTTTGAAAAGAAGCACAGAAAGATGCTAAAGAATAACCTTGGTATCAATGCGATGGTTGCTCAAATGATGTTGAAAACCGAAGAAGCGAGTATCAAAGGAGATGAATTCAGCAAAGATAATAACTCCCCAGAGGTTAAAGAAAGAAAAAAGAGTAATTTGGAACATGAATGGGAAAAGGAAAGGAAAATGTATGAAGTCGAAATTCAGAAATTGAAAGAAGAAAACAGTCAACTCGAGTCTCAACTTAAATTCCAAGCACAAGTAACACCTTGTTTCTGTTTTAAGTCTAAACATTTTGAAGAAATTTAATTAATTTTTTTTTACAATTCTTTAATTCTAGTTTATTTTCTCTGATTTATGTAATGATTTTAACACAGGTAAACGGAGAATTAAAAAATTTATTAGTAGCTGCAGTCGGAGAGGACATTGAAACTAGAGTTCATGTGCTTACAGAAGATAAATTGCAACTTTCTCGAGCACTCCTAAATTCTGCTCAGCATCTCAGTACCCACCAAGAACAAACCGAGTGGCTGGCTGGACAATGCGAGGTTTGGAGGAGTAAATTTTTAGCCAGCAGGTATAATAGGCAACTAACGTATAAATATATTGCTAAGCTATTTATTCAGTATACACAAACTTTCTGTACTACTTTAGTTTAATTGTCGAAGAACTCGCTAAATGGAAGGCTGCACTGTGCCAAAGAACGACTGACCTTCAAGAAGCAATAAAGAGATTGTTAGAAGAACGAAGCAAGGTCAGAGATACGTCTCTGAAAACGTATAAGTATGTATCAATTTGTCTCAATATGCAATTATTTCCGAATCTAGAGATCCACACTATAAAGTTTAATGTTTGTAGAATTCTCAGTATTCTTCGTGAAAATTTTGATACCGTTGGAGCTGTATCATATAGGAGACACGAACTACCTAGTACAAACATCATCGACGTAGCGGAAGGGTGTTGTCAACTCTCAGAAATTCTCAAGGTTCAGCTCTTAAGTGGGATGGATGGGATTAATCTTCGTAACGAAATAAATATCACTGGATTGGAAATGAAAACCTTAGCTGAAAAAAATGCAGAACAGGTAAAGTAGAATTTACGTCTTATTTCTTCTACGTACAATGAATACATTATTGCAGTTGCTTATGAGTCCCAACTTATTGATGTCTGGCCGACAAGACGCAGCCTGCAGCGCTGTCATGGGAGCAGCGGTTGCACTAGGGGGTCAATTGTTTCTTCCACCAAGAAACTGTAGACTCGGTATGAGTTCTTGTTCGCACTGTAGCGGGGAGATTAAACAAATCTGAGTTGAACATATTTTCCAAATCAAAAAAAATCTGGGCAACTGTATAAATTTAATCGGAGGCAACACGAGTCATTTCCTTCCATCCTGCGGAATAATTTTACAAAGTATTTATACACATATTTTATCGACTTTTATACACCACAATGTTGTCAAGTCGCTTGTACCGACAATAATGAAAAGCTCCTTTGATAAACAGTTAATTATATTTTTGAACCTCCTTGATCATTTATTATTTTCTTCGTAACACCAACCGCATCTGCTATCACCATAGAATTCACACTTCCTTGACCAATAAGTCGGGGATCAACAACGTCCGCGAATTACCTTCCAGAGATCATCTCTGTTACCTTCCGTTACTTTCCAATCTACTGACCAACATGCATCTGACTTACCAACCGCACCTGTGGTCCAGGAGTACTCGTTCCCGATTCAAGTTCAATTTTCCATTGAAATAAATCATGAATGCTGACGGACTAATCAATCTACGATTTCCGCCTGAGTAATTCCGCACTTTTCTAGGAGTTCTGCACTGATTTCAGGGTTTGACGCACTTAATTTAACCTACCTGAAATAGAGTTTCTCCAGGTTAGGCCCTTTTATCCCGCGGTTCTCCTTGCATTCGGTTTCGCGGGTGCGCCGCAAGATGGCGGGCGCGGCGGCGTCGCGCGCCGCGAATGGCGGGAGCGAGCCGCCGGTTGAATGGACGTCGAGCGAGGCTTTCGGCCGGCCGGCACTTCGCGTACGACCGCCGCGTGACGCGTTACGTCGAGTCAACAGGTTCCGGTCGACCCCGAGCGTCGCGACGCGGCGATGCCGTTCGCCGGTAAGATCTCGGTCTGCTGACGGCCTCGGTATGGGAGACGCTCAGATCGGTGTGCGAGTGACGAAGAAAGTCCCCGTGCGCGAGAGATGAGGACGTGAGAAGTCCCCAGAAAATGTAGCCCGCAGGGCGAAACCGACTCTGCCCTGCACCGGTTCCCGTATCCTCGAAAAAAGTCCTTCCACTCCTCTGCCACGAGAAACCTCCGGTAAGTGTGAGAAATGAATACGACCGTCCGTAAAAGAAATAAAATTCAGTGCCAGTGAATGAAGGTGCCGAACGGTCGGCGCAGGGCACGGCGTCGAACCCTCCGTCCAGAAACAGTTCCCGGCAACGATATCAGCGAGCGGTGAGCAGCTATAAAATCGAGATAACAGAAATCTCCATTAACAAAAGCCCGTACCTAAAGTAAGTGCCGCGAGTGGGACCGGTGGCGATCGCGAGGTGACATAAAACCGCTCTCCGGGAGCGTTCATATTACGTGCCGCGAGTGGACCAGTGACGATAATAGCGATTAATATCTATAATCGCAGATGTAACGAGGAGGCGAAGGAGAAGAACGAGGGACTCGAAGTATGGAATAGATCGCATCGGATTCTGGATAAACACCCCCCTAGGTACCGGGGATACGGCTTCACCATCTTCTGGTGAAATATTTCACATCTTCCGGGGAAACGTACGACATCATCCTCCGGGGAAGCATTTTATTATCTTCTGGAGGAACATACATCATCCAAGGAGACTTGTGACGAACTTCCGGGGGTACCTCGACTAGCTTCCTGTCCGCCGATGGAGCCGGCGCCGGGAGGACCGCGACCTGGCCGCGGCCCGCGGTGACTCGCGACCCGCGGCCTCCCCAGAGGGGTGCGGGGAGAGGGCGGAGAGAGGTTATGCCCGCGGGCGCGGTAACGGCCGGTGGACAAGATGCCGTTCGCGATCCGCAAGGTGGAGCCGCGTTACCTGTGTCGCGGTCACGTGCCCCCAGGGCCGGACGCGCAGGGGTGGCCGGTGGGCGCCGAGATGGGCGCCGTGGCGAACGGCGCCCTCACCGCCTCCCTCAGGCAGCTGGCCTCCCTCCTGACGGCCGCCGAGGACATCTTCGCCGAGCTCACCGCCGAGCTCACCTGCCTGGCCGACCGCAGCGGTCTCCTCAGGCACAGGATCGACCGCGTGGAGGAGCGCCTCGCCTCGGTCGACCCTAAGAAGATCCCAGTCCGTAAGTCTCTAAACATTGATGGCTATAAACGTCTCGACCTCTTCTTAAGGAACTTATCACGAATCGTGGGATCATGAAAAGGAAAATATGAAATCACCCAGACCCGATTACGTCAGTAGAAAATCAAGGACTTGGTAGGACTTGATCTTGAATTTGCTCGCCCTTGGTCCAGGAGTTCGGAAATGATCCTGAGAAGGGTTACCCTATCTAGGCTACGAGTTTCCCCGAATCCCTAGGTCGAGGGTCTTCTAGATCCGTAGATTGCTGGGGAGGAATTAAATGTTACGGAAAGGCGGTACCGGGAGAACTTGGCGACACTTTTTCCCGTTTCCTCGGCTCGCGGAGGAGAAAAGGTCCTGATGCGAAATGGAGTCCCGAGGTGCTCGTTGGAGCACTCTGCCCAAGGAAAACTTAGGGGGGCTTTAAGCCTCCGGGTTATCTTTACCCTAGGAACTTACCTTATGCGCCGGGAATTTAGAACTCGAGGTCTGTTGCACGGCAGATAGCTCGCGGGAAGGAAGCGCAGGATTACTCCGCAGGGAATCACCGAGGAGGGAGACTTCATATTCTGAAACTCCTGGAGATTTCCCGGACTGCGGTAATCCTTCCCAACTCGTTTGTTGTTATTTATTTTTCTTTACTCAGTTTCTGGAGTACCCACGGTACCTCTGGTACGTAGTTTGCCCTCTGGAAACATTACCCCGTGGAGGGAAAGAAACCCTTGTCTCATTTTTATTCTCCGATCTTGCTCTTTTCAGAAAATCATTATTCACATCATTGAATTTATTACTTTTTTATCATGGCGCCAGAGATTGTCCCTACGGCACTGAAAAATCGTGGGACGGGCCCATCGCGTTCTAAGAAGTCCGGTCGATTTAGGTTAACGCGATAATGGTGTTTGTAGACCCAACACCATTGACCTCGTCAGATATGGTGATTCTCAAGTCGAGATAATCGACCTCGGGATAATCGTCTGAAAAATTCGATTCGATATCACTGGGGTCGGGGGGGAAAAAAAAAAAATTAAATTCTGGAAGGATGCGTCGCCAGTCGCGCGGAATATTTTTTTGGGGTCCATGGGGCCCGGAGGGCCCTCTCTTCCGCGTCCCCTCGCTTCGGGGAGAACCGGTTGGGCCCTCGGTCGGGTTTTGTCCATTGAGAAGGACGCCGACCGATTTCTCGACTCGAGAACGTGAGATTCGACGTAGGCGCGTACCTAGGGCCCCGGGGGCCCGGCCCTTGCGGGAAAACGCCTCCGCGTTCATTTTTACCTGGTTTACCTGGGCCCCGATCGTGGGAACGCGCCCCAGGAAATGGGCCTCATCTCGTGCGCGCGCAGCCTCCCACAAAGGACTTTGTGCATCTCGGGGAGAAATTGAAAGGCCGGGAGATAGACTAAGCGAGAATTAAGAGAAATGCTGATCGAGTCCCGTATCAATTTGTCAATTAACGAGACACGCGTGCACCTCGAGGAGGAGAGCCTTTTATTTCTCCCCTTCGGGAATATCGCTTTCCTTGCGGTGTCCTCTTCCTTTTATATCCTGCGGTGGACATTGCTTTCATTTTCTTGTATCCGGTCGGTCCACGAGTCGGCTGGGAATTTTTATACGGGAAATTTGTATCCTCCTTCACCTGGGGAAGGGAATATTAATTTATTTACTTGCCATTCGCCGGTCACTCGTTTTCAACTATCCTCCTGGCGGGTTTATCTAGACTTGTAATTATCTTTGAGAACAAACTTGGGGATTTTTTTTAAATTGTAATTTAAATTGGTTAATCCTGGTTTAAGAGTATCGTGGGAGGAGTATCTTCGGTGTTTGTGGCAATTGTCGGGATTTTAGATTTTTAGTAGCTGATGTGGGAGGGGAAATGAGTGCCGAAATAACTCGGCAATTACGGCCGAGCCTTACTGGGGGAATAATTAATTTTTCGCGGAAGGCAATGTCAGTGGCCCTTTCTGGAATGGCTCCAAAATTAGTCGGCAGCCTGGAAGCGAGCCGGCTCGTTTTGGGATCAGTTGCAACTGTGTAAACGCAATAATTGCAGCCAGATGAAACTAATCTCGGGGGCGAGACAAGGTAAACCTAAGGTGTCGAGAGGGTTGATAAGATATCCGAGGCCGGTTTATTTTCGTCCGACTGGTGTAAGTGGGAAAGTAAACACAGACATTAAGAAACTTGGTAGAGTTTCCTCTCAATATATATATAGCCGCGAAATATCCTTATTCAAGTGTAGTCGCCGTCACGAGAATGTAAATACAAAGTGTTATTATTCCCAAGAATGCGAGAAATGCTAGGTGACCACTACGAAATTTGTATACCGAGTGCTGGAATTCAAGTATAAGCTCCATTGAAGAGGAATTAATGATTAGAAAATATTACCGAGAGACGCTTGAATGTAGACGATCTTATCTAACGACACGGGAATCCATAAAACTAGGAGGAAAGTAATTTTATACATTAATAGTAATTAATAGTAATTTTGCAAATTTGTATACCAAGTGTTGGGATTCAAGTATGGGCTCCATTGAAGAGGAATTAATGATTAGAAAATATTACCGAGAGACGCTTGAGTGGAGGTGATCTTATCTATTGACACGATATTACATAAAATATGGAGGAGTATAATTGTATGGTATTTCTTTCGTCTTTTTGTGGTTGGAAGAAAAATAAAGAGGCAGAAGTTACTGTCGCGTGTTTTTCTTCCTTTATTTCGGGGAGCCTCGGAATGGCGAAGCAAAGGAATTAGCAAACCGGACACGTAAAATGAGCCCGGAGGTATCAAAGGAAAAAATGTTATTACGTATGTTAATAATCCTTAGGATAGGCCGCGTGGCACGCATCTTAATGACACATATACGTATCGTTTCCCTTCCTGGTGTTTCCTACGTCCATTCCAGAATCTCGGGTTAACGGGATACTCTCTTTCGCCTCTTTCTCGAAGTTGCGAAAGGGGGGAAATATTAAAGCGAGGGGGAGGAGGACGAGAGAGGAAGTAATTATCATATCTGCACAGTGTAACAATTTTCAAGGGACGGTGCCGCGGAATTACATTTCGGTAATGTTTCCTTGAAACGGCTTTAACAGGTGCATTAATTAATCTCGCGATACGAACATCGCGACTCGTTTTAGTTTTTCCAATCTCTTTTGTTCCTGAGATTTCACGCGATTATAGGCAATTCGCCAGGTATTTAATTTTGCCTTTCAGTTTGTTATTTCACGCCGTCCGTTGTATATCGAAAAATTAGCGTTGCAAGGGGAATCGTGTTTCTCGAGCGAGGTGGCCAGGTGAAATTATCTCGGGCACGGTTTCCTGGTCACCATGACGTGCCTCCACCTCATTCGCGAAGTGTCACACGAGCCGGAGCGAGAAGACCCTACGGCTTCCATGGGCAAACAGCTGAGGCTTCCTCGGGTAGGATTCCTACCTTCGGGGGAGTCTATTGGTCTCGGGTCTCTAAACTTTACCCCGAGACCAGACAAGAGTCCCGGCAACACCCTGGAGAGGTATCCCTAGGGACAGCTGATTTTCGGGGACTTCCTCTTCCCAGAGGGAAGAATAGAGCTCAGACCTCGAAGGACCCCAAAGATCTCCCAGCTCCATTTCCTACTCTCCCTAAAGGACCTGAGCATACAACAAATATCGCAAATTAAAAAGCGAATGAAAAAGAAATCGATTTTTCCCCTAGGAAAAACCCCCTTTTCCCCTGACGTAACCTCTTTTTACACTAAAGGTGTCCTTGCAGGGATCGTACCTACTCGAAGCTCTGATAAGTCCTTATCAATTATTCCTTTCTTTTTCCCTCCTCTAATCGTGACATTTTATCGTAAAAATCCTCAGGAATTATCGCACCTTGCGTCGGACTTTTTCATATTTACGGCGGTTTCCCTTTGATAGCGAACCGGGGGTAGGAACGGTGAGAGTCTCTCAGGTGATAATTTTCACACGGCTTTGAGTCGCCTGTCTGTGCCCCCGCTGTGTTCAGAGTTACTCAAGCCAGGCAGTATCTCGAATTTATTTAAAACTCGAGCCTGGGGTCTGGATTATTTAATTTAACCTGCAAAATTGTACCTTTGATCAACGGACCGTTTGAAATTTTCTTCTTCTTCTGTTTTTTTTTTCCCCCTTTATGTCAGGCGGAGTTCTCGCTCCGTCAGTTTGCCTCGATCTCGCTGAATTTCCGCGGGTTTTGCTCGAGACTGTATGGACCTGTGACTGCAACAAATGGAAATAGAAAGTCGACGGTTAGAGTCGGTGGTCGTGCCTCGTGGATGCCGCGGTCAAATGGATCTATGTACACGTTTATACACGCGGGAGAGGCGATTCTTAAACGCCGGTTTCTCGCGGCGAATCCGCGAGGCCGCGGAAGTCGTGAATCATTCGCTAAAGGAAGGCCGACTGTTTGTTTAAAGTCCAGAGTGGAGGAACTGGAATTAAAATAGAAATTGCAGTGGTTTAATCTTCAATCTCGGCGTCGGATTTACGGTTTAATCGGTAACGAGGATGATCGATCTCGACTTTCCGATCAATTTTTCCATGAATTTCGTCTTTCCACATTTTGCAGGATTTAAATAATTAATGTGAAGGCCAGATCGCGGGTGATCGATGGTTTTGAATCGGCTGATCAAGACTCGGGTAGGCAAGACCAAGGATCCAGGCTGCGAGATCGACTTCGCTCGTCGTTAGATTTCATTTAATCGATCTTTAATGACTAATCGGCCGTACCTGAGTGCGGATGAGGAGGTCCTTACCTGCGATTTCTCTCCGCAACGCGATCGCGCGGTTACGAAAGTCGATCGGGTTTGCACAATCCCTCGGGTGGCTCGAGGATCTACCGATCGGCGAGATCGGTGAGAGTAGATCGCGATAAAAGGGGACCGATCGATCGACCCTGTCCCGATCTTCGGAGGTCGTAAAGATGGTCGCCGATGCCGGGGAGGGTTTTACGGCCGAATGTCGGGGTAGGGGGAAAGATGGCCCTAAAATTAGCTCGGCTTCTT